CTTGAAAGGGCAATTAGCATGAGAATGCATCGTGCTGAATTTAATGCTTCCAAAGGTTGATTTTGATCTGGGTCAGACATATGTGGTAATCAATCCTACCAATTAAAAGACAAGCAACTCCTCACAAGTGTTCCCACTTCAGGTTTACCAAAAAATAGTTGCGGGTATACCCTTGTCTTTGCTAGAAGATGAGCAATCAACGAAAAAAATCTTCCAAAATGGAAGTTCTCGTGACAATGTGTTTGGTCAAAAATATTTGAATGTCCGTTCGTTTCCACCGAAGAGCAAAGTTAAGCCAAACGAATACGTATGGATTAGTCATAAATAAATCTTTATGATTTGGTGTAACTCCAACGCTCCGTGACATTGCCAGCAAAAGAGCGACCAATGAGAATCCGATTTTCAGGACCAATCAAGATCCACCTACATAGTTCAATCAGGAAAAATGTGCCCAGCAGAACGATTGATCAATGCTTTTCAGCCAATAATATCCATTCATACACATTGTTTGATCGCACTGATCGCACTGTAAAGGCAAATCAGTACAGCTTCGTGTTTCACGTGGGATTCCAATTCCTGAATTGCGTCCCTCACAATTACTACAAATTTTACCGTTTTCTGTAAAACTGTGAGCTTTGCCACTTCAGAGTAACGAAGCTTATTTATTGCAAGCTAAAATTCTGCGATGTTTGTTTCACCAAAATCGTCGAAAACTGTGTACTCAGTTCTGTTATTGATCTCTTCCTGATTTTATTCTTCATTTCTTCGTGTCGTCCAACGGTGCTTATACGTCACGGCCCCCAATTGGGTCGAGAACTCCAGGGGAACGATTGTGAGCCGATATGATCCGGTCGTTTTAGATCGCGAAACACATCCACGATGGACAAAAAGGATCGATGGATGTAGTGAAGCTGAACCACAGCCTATGACTAATGAGTCAAAGAAAACCGGAACTTTCGTGTTTCCTCTTCTATCTGTATGGAAGCGTTTCGTTCTGCTCTGAAAACAAAACAAAAAGGAAATACTGTTATTCTGTTCCATTTTTACAGCCATTAACCATGCACTATCGTGCGCCGGTTCTGGTTGCTGTCTTTTGGATGCCTATTTGGATGCACATTAAGAAAAGCACAGGAGAGATTGCAAATAGAGTTGAACAGAAAATGGAGAAGTTCAGTGGTCTAAGGTTGCAAACAAATTGAGAAGATGCACGAACGCCACTATTTGCGACCCCCAACCATATTGTTCAGTGTCCCTAATCATCGGTTACGATCATCCCGAGGTCCCTATGTAGGAAGCCTAAGAGGACCTATGTGACCCAGTCTCCTGGTTAGGGTTTTTATAGCTTCGTGCCAGGTGTTAACTTGATCACCCTTGGCTTTGTTTCACTCGGCATCTGTTTCGGCGAACATCGCTCGCCGTGGCAACCTATTTGGTGACATACGTAACACCTGTCCCAACCAACGTAATCTATGGAGATCGACCATCTGCTCCAGTGAGCGATCGCGATTACCTATAACTCTACGCCCAACCTCAGTGGGGAGAGGGGGGATTGAATGTTGCTCATATTATGATCATCACTCACACACACACGCATTGGTTCGGGTCATTAGAGGTGGGTGGGGGATGTCTGTGTGGTGTAGTGTGTTAGCCATGGAGGACAGAGTGTTCTTACAATTTGTTTTTGTGAACAAAGAGATGGGGATTATGTAGGCGGATTTGGATCGTATCCACAGTGGGCAAGGCACGAGTCATAATCCCGTATGGTCGACGGCTGCGAACCAAGGTGCATCGAAACGCCTCAGCTACCTGATATATATATATATATATATATATATAAAGGTTACTGAATACATATGCCTGACGAGCGGCAAGGACCGCGAAACCGGTGGTGTGCTTCCGTAGAAATTGCGTCTGGTCAATTACTACTTATTACGAAATATACATATATATGTGATAATGGGGAATAGTACTAAATGTAGAAATACGAGAATCCGTAATGCACTGCTCAGAACCGAATTGGCTCCCACCCGAACTGCGGACACCAATGAAATACAAGAGGAATTGATAGCATTAAATGCTTATGTTTATGGATGGAATTAGATCGTGTTTTGCAGAAGGTAATAGGGTATATGATTGGTTGAACGACCGTCCTCCAATCACGTAACCGTTTGCGCCGACGCATCATATGTACTATTTCTGATGTCATGTTCACCCGGTGTACCATTGGTAGAGCTTCCTGAGCGGTGATTGGATGACGTGAAACTGTACCTAGTTGTGCATGGATTGCGGTCACGGAATTCTGGATGACCAAAATATATCACGAGTCTGAATCCAGAGGCATAATGGAAACATAACATAGTAAAGAAAGCTGGGTAGCTTTTATCGTTTATGTCTCATTTGTCGTAAATATACAACGAGAATCTTCACACTACTTAAAATTACCTACTACTGGTTAACATGATTTGTCGCAGGGTTTGGAATTTACTCATTTTTTTCAAGTCCTCAGTGGGTGTGATATAGAAGGAGACTGACTGTATGTGAAAAACTCAAGGTGTGCTTAAACTGCTCTCGCTCATACACATCCATTGATTTTGGTTACTTTTTTTACAGTAGACCGTGGTAGACCGATCAAGAGAAGTGCCTGTCTAAAGAGCTCTACATCTCTAGAGTTGAAATGGCTTTCTCCCCAACTATCCGAACAGTTGATCACCAGTTCTATAATGGCTCCATCAAAATCGATGAAATCTGTTATATATATATATATTGTATGACCAGTCCCACAGAGCACATTTCAAATAGAATAAGGAGTGGCGAACAAGCTCGTTTTCAGTGATTCGTAGTCATGCCAAATACATCACAATAAATATTACGCTGTTCATATATAGATCGGTATTCAACCATAAAAACGCAAACAAATGTTTCGGAAAGGGAAAATAACCTCATGAGTTATCCTGGGCTAAGTTCATCTTGGGACCGGATATGGAATTCTCAATGATCACATAATTGTTAGGTCATCCGATCATTGGGATCACTTGGAAAATGGGGTGTGTAAGGAGTGGGTCAAGAGAGCTTAAGCGACTGCACAAAATGGTTTTTGGGCACACAGAGGGGGTTGGTGCGGCCGAATTCCTACCGCTTCCGCTGTGGCCAGCATACGACGGCGAACCTGCCAGGAACACGTAAATGGGTACACACAAAATGAGATGGCAGAATCCGGCATTTTGTCCTTTAGTCGTAAACACACAATTGGCTGGGAAGTGAACAAAACATTGAGCTGTGCTGTATAGAAGGTATTCTAACAGTATCTGATAGTCTACGAATCACTGAAAACGAGTTTGTTCGCCACTGCTTGTTCTATTTGAAATATATATATATATGTATGTATAAAAACTGGGATCTCCTCGATTGTGGCAACGACGCCAAAGCTTCTCACGCGTTGAAGGTTGAGCGCAAAACATTCGCGATTTCTCGTGTCAACTCTGTTCGCTACAGTGCCCACAGTTTCACCCTGAATTTCCTCCCAAGTATATTACAATATGCGGCTTCCCGGATAACGGTTTTGGATGTCCCTCTGCTCTCCATGGATGTTTCTGGTGTCCTTGGTCTAACTGGGGCCCCTAACCAGCTGAACGTAACATCTATCAATGAAACAACGATTCAGGAGCTTCTGGTGGTACCTCTTAACATCGAATCCATCAACCGGGATTTATCAAAGTGCATTGCATAGTTCACATACAGTACCACAAACCCAATGTAATCGGTCAGCTTTCCCACCAAGGAATCTTTGAAACAATGGCCGAACCAGGCAAATTTAAAGCTTCATAACGTCAATCAGGATTCCGCCTCATCTCTGATTGGCACGAACTTCCTGCGTGCCCATTGGGCCATTGAATAACGATTGGGCAAAACCAATCAACCGTATTCAAACCTGGCTGAGTTTAATTGGGTCATCATTGGAACGCGTGGAGGCAAGTGTGGTGAGTCAACCCTATCAGATGACGCCAACCAAGTGCCTACGCGTTCCAGTTTCTGGACATCGGGCTATGGATTAGCAGTATTGATTATTTAACAGCCATGCAGTTCAAATAGATCACTTGGGACTCAAAGAACAAGAGCGGTGATTGGCTGGTATTCATTTGACCAATGATATTTTTATTTGCATATTTTTAAATTCCTTTGTTTTCTCTCAATAAAGGGACGGCTGCTTCTGTGACCGTTTTCCTACATCTCGGTGACGGGAGAATACATCGTGCAAGTGCTAGTGCGATTCATTGTTTCAGTTGAGTCCGTGATTAGTGATTCGCAAATCCGTAACTACTTCGACTGCCACAATAAGGTAGGTACTAACGACTCCATGAATTACGTTGAGAGTTAAAGCTCATAAGATGACACAATCCGGAGATTCTTTGATCACCGAACCTTTGATAAGGGGAGAAAAATCAGAAGGGCTTTACTGGAAGAAGACAAGGGGGTCGTGAATTCTCCAACTCGTTCAGTGAAGATGATTGTGGGGCATTTCGTAGTAGGGGGTCTTGGTACGGGATACCTAATGGTGACCGAGAAACTTCCGCGTTATCGCTCTGAAAATGATGCCATTGTAACGATTACTACAACCAGGAAAAACGCAGCGGATCTACTGCTTTGCTAACTCTCCTGGAGGAACAGGCTCCAAAAATCGGCTGCATACTTTTCCCTTAGAACATAAGAGATAAGGTTAGAAACAATAGGGTGAATGGTCAGTCTTAAGCTATATCCAGAAACAGACGCCACAGTTATATTTCACACTTATCTGAGGACAGACTGTGTGCCACAAATAAATGGTATTTGTCATTCAGGATATGGTTCGAACGCGGAAGCACCCATTTGTTGAAATACACCGTTTTCCGTTTGTTTTACGCATCACTTGACGTGGATTGTCGTAGCCTGTGAAATCATCATTTCGGTTGAGAAATACTTACCCGGTATCAAAAAGAAAATAAATGGTTACACAGTTTACTTACTGCTACTCTTATTCTTCTCGGCAATATTGTTCAATCGGCGAAGCAGTTCCGCGTTCACAGTCGTCAATGGCAACGGCTGATCTCGCATAGCCATAGCTTGTGCTTCTTTGATCGCCTCATCGTGTTCCCCTTCATCTCCGTCGTACGATGCCTGACTGTGACCGCCGTTGATCGACGAACGTCTTCCCGTGTGATCATCACTTTCTTCCTCATCCTCTCCTTCACTGTCATCGTCATCCGGCGGATTTTCTTGCCTCTTGGCAGCCAATTTCAATAGTTCCGTGATCAGATGTACTCTGCAACGGGACGCGTACGAGATAGTGAATGTGGCAATAGCCGGACGGAGAAGAGAGTGAAGTATTTTTTTAGAACTCAAGTTCCAGGGCATGTCTACCACGTTCAACTTAGTCCTTGCCCTGTTTGTTTTCAATTTGGAAAAAATGAGTACGGTTTCATGCAAAAGAACCGAGATAAAACTAGTGTGAATTAATTATACTGCGTAGTATCAAAACCTTTGAAATGGGAAAATTTGAACATTCAACCGTCTTCAACAGATTTCCGTCTTTCAGATTCGGTTCAATGGAATCTGCAATGATTGTAATAGTAGTAGTAGTAGTACGCACGAAATTCGGAATGCAAGCCACGCAATAGGAATCACCGGACACGAATCAAGAATCAGCTATCACGGACTGGATCACAGAAGTACTGGACCGCAATGGCGCGAGTTCACAATGTCCCACGAGAACGAGACACGAGGAAAAGGTCACAGGAATGGTAGTAAGTAGTTCGTTTATTGGAAGAAATGAGGGCGATTAAATAATATGTACAAAGAAGATTATGGGTTATCTAGGCTTCCACCAATCGGATTGCAATACTGCTTGCATATTGCTGCTTCTGTCTGCACTGTCTCGGATTGGCTGGCACGATCTGCCTATGGCGTGTAGTCAGAAGCCGTGACGCGCACGCGTGTCATTGACGTTATAGTTCATCTTTCAAATTTGATTGATCGTAAATGTCCAGAAACTGTAGGCGTCACCACGTAGACCTGGATCACCACAGAATCACTTTATACTTTTCTCTTTTTTACAATACTACTCGGTTAACCATACAACTGAAATAGTATTTGCATGAGCAGACCACTGTTTGTTAAAGGTTAGTATCCAATCCGAATTGACTCATTCGTCCAGAGTAACAGACAAACTCTATAATCTGGTTAATCGGGTGGTATCCGTGACCGGGATATTATGAAGCGAGCTCATACACTTCTCTGGAATCGGGGTTGGACATTCTCCATGACCCGTAGCTGAGATAATATCGAGTAGCTCACCAACCCACTAAGTGTCGCAAGGTTGTCTAACAGCTATAAACTTTAGCATTGTCTTTTTTAGTTTTATGGCATCTGAGTAAGCCGTCGCATTCCGTCAGGGTTCCTGGAATCGCGGTGGAACTGAACGAACTCCTGATAGGTTTTTTTATCGCGGGAAGTAAGCGCACACAAGTGGGTGGATCTTGTTTACTATATGAGACTCGATACCAGAAGCTTCCGTGGTATCACTGTGCCTCGCTTAGTGATGACGAATGACTTCACGCGGTTCAGTGGGCTCTTGGTAGGTTCTCAATCAGGCCAGAATGCTTTTTTCTAGGGTCGTACTGTGCAATTGACCCGAGGCAAATGGAAACAGAAAACAAAAAGCCGCATTTCGCTTCGGCTCTCATCCGGATTGGGGAAACTCACTTTTCTATTGAACGTCGTGTATACTTGGAGTCCTCGGACACTTTGGGTTCAACTTCTATCACACAGGATGTGTCGTGTAACAGTTCATGATGTTGCAGTCTGGCCTGCCTAGTTAGCATAGTCACAAAATCTCGTCTGGTCTCGGTCGTCAGAGCTTTTCCACCGAACATGACCGAGTAGGAACGTTTCATTGGATCGACACGGCCTCCCGCGCTGCCAAACGGATGATCCATTGTGTCCGGTGTGTCCGCGTTTCGACTGTCCTTCGTTTTCAGCACGGACAGAATTGCATCACACTGGCTGACCGGTTTTATCGCAATGTCCCCGGTGAAACGAAATTCCAAACAGAGACCGTTGAACAACAGTACGTGATTGATATCGCTACCGTTCACCCGATACTGGTAAGATTTACGGGATTTCTGCATTTAGGGGGGGGGGACAGCATTCATGATGTGTTGTGTATATTTCTTGGTAACTTGGATTTGGCAGTACACAAAAACAAAGACTATTATTTTGCATGCTACTCATATCTGTAAGTAGTATGTAAAATAATGCGGTCGCTGGTGCTGGTTTCATTTGACGGGCAAAAATGCATGAGACCCCTTAGAGCGAATTTTTGTGCTCAAAATAATAACTACGGTCGGTTTGCATTCATTATCCTGTGTGTCACTGGGAATTGCGATGATATGTTCAAAATGGGGTGTCTTGTTATATGTAGGCCAAGTTATCGATATCTTAACTGTGGTTCGCAGAAAACAACTTTTCTCTAGAATTATAACACCACTATTACACGAAAAATACTTCAAATATTACTGCTACTACCACCATCATCACCAATACTGCCTCTGCCTAGGCTGTGCTTTT